CAGGCCTCGCTTCGGAGCCGGGGAGGAGACCGGCCTCGAGGCCCGGCAGCTGCAAACCGCGGGCCTGATCGAGCGAGGGGGTGGAGGAGACGGGGGGAACCGGCAGGATGAGGGAGAACTTACCTTCTCTGCCTGATAAGTGTGGAGCTCCCTATCCCCCCCCCCGCGAGTATCGCGGGTCCCACCCCTTGTTGTCTTCTAAAAGCATAGACTTTCACAATTCTATGTCACTCACAGAGTGGGGTACCAACTAAATTGTTTCTGGAGATTTTGAATGAACCAGTGGAATTCTATAACTCTCTGGCAGATACTTTTTCATAGAGCCCAATGGCTGCTTTGTTGATTTGTCAAATAGTGGGCTGATATGGCTTTTGTTCTTTTGTACAATAAGCTGCAGTGTCCTAATACAGTTTTACAATTTCTAAACATCCAGAGTAGAGAAAGAGTTAAAATGTTAACTTTTGGAGCCTAAATAATGGGATAGTATCACCCCTATGAATTGTCAGTTCTTTCCTCAAACTGGTCATGTCAATGAAGACTGTATCTGCTGTCATAGTAATATTACCCAAATCAATACATGTGTCGGGCCTGTAACATGCACAGCATCCTCTACAGGAAATAATCTTTATTCCCCTAACAAGGTACAAGACTAGAAAAATGAAATGCAAGGGAAAGAAAATCATGAAACAACACTGCAATACGGTAACACAAACCTAGCAATACTGCTAACTTGTTACGGTGAATGAGGAATCTAATGGGAAAGAAAGGGTGAAAAGAAAAACATATGTTGCCTCATTTGGAAGATAAAAGTCCATTGGGCTTCAATCCAGGACAGAAGAGAAGGGAGGCTGATCTGGGGTAAAGGAAAAACTCAGACTAAAACCAACTAAGCAGCTGGGGATTCAAACTGAGGGATTCAGTGATTCAGCAAGAGGACAAAGGACTGGGAAGCAAGCCAACTGCAAAGCTGAGGAAACAGGCTTGTGTTCAAAACCAGCTACAAAGTGGAGAGCTTGAGATGCTCCTTTTATAGGGCTTGGAGCACCAGGTTTAGGATCAAGACTGTAGGGTACTGAACTCAGGAAAAAGCATATGAATTTGAGGTGGAACAGGTGAGTGACTGAGATGGGGGACAAGCTCAGGCTGGTCCAACAAAAACTGAACAGGAATTTAATGATATTTTCTGGGGTTCAGGATTGAATTACCAGGGCAAGCTGAATGAACAGGCGAGTCCCTGTACCAATAGACTATTAACCAGAAAAATTAATCAGTTTTGGATGAAAGAGCTCCTGGAGCTGAGGGTAAAAGGCCTTTAAATCAATGCATCCTTTGGAGCATTCCAGCAGATGGACTACTCCTATTTGGGAGGATCTAGAGAATCTTTTGGGGATGCACAAATACAGGGGTATCTGCAGAGAGAAATGGCCCTGATGGCAACAGTAAAGACTGAGCAATGGACATCAAGTGATGAAAACAGAACCTGTGATCAGATCAGAAAAAAAATGGCTCAATATACTTTCTATTGCCTGGGTTTGGACTCACTAAGTTATAATGGTTTGCGGCCCTGGGGTGCTCCTTATTGCCACACACAAATTGTAGGCTACAGCAGTGAGCTACAATGTTTTTCAGTAACTTCACATAGTGACTGCATCCCAAGGGGCCCTGAACTATACTGCATTCTTCAGCTAGTTAACTTTAGATAGTGCACAATATGGTAGTCTTTCTCCTGAAAGACGCTGGACTTGAACATGGCTATACCAGCTCCCCACTGTCTTATAAGCATACCTCAACATGCTGGTTTTTAGTTAAAGCCAACACTGTTCACATTTTTAGTCTTAGTAACTTAGCACCTGGAAAATTTAACTGAGGGGGAAAAGAGAAAATTTAACAGCTTAGTCATTGGCTTGGATCTTGCTGAAAATCTCCACCGAAGGAAGGACAAGCCACATGAAGGGGGAATTGGCAAAAATCCCCTCCCCAGGAATGACTGGCAGGGCACAACTCATTATGAACAACTGGAGATATACCACTGTAGATCTGCAGATATTAAGCAACCATATACACCAAGGCGATCTATTAAGTTTGAACTGCAATATCAGATGGCTTTATATTATCTGGATTTCAGCCTTCCACAATTGTTGACCTTTATTTATGCAGAAAGTTTCTATGCTACCTCTCCAGAGAACCTGCTTACAAAATAAAACTGCTTTCTTTGATATTACTTCCATATAGTATTTATGCCTGGTTTTGTGGCCATTAGCTGATTAATTGACTTCTTGATTTGGCTTGAGCATTTTAGTTAGATTTACACGCTGCAAAAGACAACTTCTCAAATGCTAAATTATACTTCTGGCTTTTGAAACAATTTTTACTTTATTTAAAAATAATTACATTTAAATAAGAATCACAAGTGTCCGCCACAACTAAATCTGAACGACAATATTTAGGAAGTTATCATCGAAGTTAAACTAGTGGATTGTCAAAAGGTCAGAATGGGGTTTAAACTCATTTGTTTGAAATGTTGCATGCTGTAATATCACATTTCTTGATAAACAGAATACCAAAGAGCATGATTTGAAATCTAATGAAAAAGATATCCTTAAATATTAAGTGCCCACACTCTAAACTAAGAAAAGAGCTCCTGTAAATAAACCTTTATTGATGAGTGAAGTGTTTGGCAAATTAGCAAAACCTTTCCACTATCAACTGCTTTCCCAGTTCCAAGAGGAAAAAAGAAAAAAAAACTGTATGCATTTGAAGAAGTTAGGTCTGACAGGTGACAGTTTATGCATGGATAAACTTGGTTAATCTTAAAAGTGCTGCTTAATTTCAGTTTGCTTTCTACAATCTCTGGATCAACTTAACACCTTTAAATAGTCAACCCCCTTCCTATCCGATCAGGAAAGTATTTTAAAAAGTATCTGTTTGACTTTTTATTTAGGACGAGCTATGAAAATGATCCTAAGGTTTATCCTTTACAAATTTTCATTAGCAATTAGGATTGTTGGCATGTAGTCTCTTTGACTACTGGGAAAAAGAATGTGCACTGTACAGGCTAAAAATGAGGGGGTCTTACATCTTTTATACTGTTTGGCCTTTAGCCTCTGATCTAGTCACACCTATTTTAGTCACTAACTCATATGGTATAACAACAAGATATATTGCATTGGTGCAGCAAGTCAATAATATGGACTAGTACGAGTAACGCTACCTTAATGTACATGACCAAAATACTCAGCACACAAATCTCAAAGCTAAATAAGATTAATATATACCATTAGGTAAATAATGTATTCACAGTAGCCTTGATTACCTCCAGACAAGATGCTTTCTCACCTGCTTTTCCTGTTTAAGTAGTTTAGCACGGTGTGGTAATTGTACCCTACATCTTAGCTTTGGTAAAGATTATCCTACATAAGTATAATTTAAAATGTTTGTGTTTTAATTTTAGCTGAATTTTAGGCCAAGGCAATTTGTTTGAATCAGAAGCATATTGCATATTGTCTCTTCCCACAGACATCGAAGAGTGAAATTGATAATCTTATTCTTCAAAACCTTCCTCAAATTTTGCACAAGTCACTAATTTGCTCTCCATTAAAAAAAATGACAAAGAGATTGGGGAGGGGCATCTTCATCCATCAATTTCCTCACTTCCATGCCACCTTTCTTTGAAAATGCCAAAAAAGCCACGTAATACCTTTAATTAGGACTAACCAAAATGACACAAAAGTGTGTAAACTTTTGAATTCTTAAAAATTCTTCATCAAGCTGGATGTTAAAAAGAAAAGAAAAGGGGGGAGCATCTTACAGGCCACTACATTCTTTGTCTGCATCCTACAGGATGTCTATACGATGCTCAGGTAACCTCACTGGTTACAGGGTATAAGCGAGCTGCTATCATGCTGTGCCCCTAGAATGCTGGAAAGAAGAAACCAAAAATGGAAGCATTCCATTGGTCAGTTTCTTCTAATTATGTTAATCCTACCTCAGCATGCAGTATCCAAATATTTTCACTAGTCTTTTTGTCGAATATAATTTTTGGCCTAGAAAATATTAACCTCTTCCTTAGTTCTGGCTGACATGTTGTATAGACACACAGTTCATTCTGGAGGAAAACACCAACTAAATATAACAAACTATCAATCCAGTGTTCAACCTTTATAAACCTTTCCTTTAAGTACATTAAAGCATATCCCTTCATTCATTGTCTGTCATAAGATGTAATTTTTCTAACAACACTGTTATGTCTTATATCAATGCAGCAATCATGGGGTGTAATACGTATACAGAGCTCTCACACCCAGAATGGCTTCCTCATTAATTTCAATAAGCCTGATCCATTAGTGTATTTCTGTACTTGTAGATCAAGTCTCACCCTGTAAGTGAACAAGAAACCCATATAATGCAAGAGAAGAGCACAATGGTACCTATTTAATGATTGCTCTGGGTGGGTTTGCAAAAAGCTCATCTTTTCTAGTCTTACAGAAGCATTTCTGAGCATTGATAGCCTTGCATCTAACCTGTTGATAGTTTTCAGACATTGCTTTGATTTGTCATACATGGATACTTCAGAAGAATGCTCAGCACTGTTCAAGGGGCAAATGTAGGATATAAACAACTCTAAATTAAACCTGCATTATTATAAATGTATTTGTTTACTTCATTTGTATCCCACTTTTCTTCCCAGTGGAGACTCAGAGTGGCTTACCAAATCGGTCTCCTCGCCTCCATTTTATTCTCACAACAACCTGTGAGTTAGGCTAGGCTGAGAGTGTGGATCTGGCCCAAGGTCACCCAGTGAGCTTCCATGGCAGAGTGGGGATCTGGACCTAGGTCTCCCTGGTCTTAGTCCGACATTCTAACTACTAAGCCACACAAGCTCTCAAAGTGTCTTCCATATTTTGCATTTTGTTTACACTTAAAGAATGCAGATAAAGGTTTTAAAAAGTATGCAAGCTAACTGTAAGATGAATAAACTAATCCATGAAAAAGTGACTTACATCAATGACTGAAGAACCTGACAAACTTAAGCCTTCTAGATCAGCAGCTGAAGTAGGACAGAGAAGAGTTACACTGGAAAGTGTTATGGGAGCCGATACAGGATTAACTGCAGAAAATAAATAGTTGGAAAGGACAGTTAAGTAAACTGTACTGATATGGTTGTGGATATTTTATATCTGAAATTCAAATACCCCCCAAACTAAAAAAGGACTCTTTCTTTCTTCCTTTAATATACTATATGAAAGAGCAGGACCTGTGAAGTACTTACAGTCATCCAAGTCTAGCAGTGACACTTCTTTAGGCAGACCTCTCTTCTGCTGCAAAATTTTCTCTTCCTTCTGCAAAACCATATAAATAACATTTTATCATTTATTAAAAAAATTAAATATCATTTATCTGAAAGAATGCACTCTTTTGGCTCAGCCTTCACAAATGAATCTTGCACTCCTCTTCAACTCCATTGCCTATCATACCAGTACAAAATGGCTGTGGTATTCAGGGTCTGTGGCCTGCTGCTCCTACAGTAACATGATCCAGCTCTTATAAGCCTATTCTATTTAGTTTTAAAACGCATTTGTGATATATAGTATATTAACATTACATTAACATGTCCTTTCCCCCCTGTCCTTAGGTCCTGAGTTTGCATTCATTTAGGGCTTCTCTTCTCAACCACTGAAAGTCTTAACAGCTTTCTTCAGCTTGCCCTGTTCAGATATGTGAACAACCTAGAAACTGAGACCAAGCAGGAACAAACTGCAGAGATCTTTAATCTTTCATGGCCTCAGAATTGGCACTCCTGATTATATTATATATTTAAAATGTTATCATGACTGCTGACCAAACTAGATGACTTGGTAAATGAGTTATTATAGTTCAGAAAGTGATTGTGTAAACAGATGGTGGTACCAAGCAAGAGGAATGCCCACTAGATGTTTGTAACTCTAGAACAACACCCTCCTCCCAATAATTGTAGAGCCCATTTCTAAGCTGGAGACACATGCAAGTTCTCTCCTATCCCAGCCTTAGGAGAACCCGAAACACCAACTATGTGTATCTGAAGTGCAAGCCATGGCACATGTAATGGAAATCTTAAGTCCTTAAGACTTTCTGTCAAGGCATTATAAATACATTATCTCATGTGTTGGGCAAGCTTGTGGATCTTCATTCTTATAAAAATTAATCTTTCTTGCTAGACAGAGGTACTTGGAAAATGAGATCACATCCTACTTCTTTTCTGTCACTACTTACCTTACACTTCAGCTATGCAACCTGTTTATTTTCTTTCTCTGTTTCTGTTATGCATTTTATTTAAAATATTTCTGTTCTGCCTTTTGTTTGGAAAACATCACAAGGGCAAGTAATAATCTAACACACACAATATAAAAAACTAAAATACAATGATTAAAACTAACAGAACAAATAAAACTAATGCCTGCCACTTAAAGAATCTCCTTAGCCTCAAGAACAGTGTGAGGAACACTGTGCTGGTCAGACCATTTGCTTACCATGTAAATCCATTTTTAATAATTCATGGCAGCCATGCAAATTTGTAGCCCTATGTCCTGAGTGCTGCTCTCAAATCTGAACTTACAAAACAACAAAAGATGTCAAATGCCCATGTAGCACATTTGACGTATGGTAGCCAAGTGGAACCAATCTTTTCAGATATCTGATAGCATCATGCAAATATATTCTGCAGTAGAACACTGTCCTGGACCTCACTGAGAAAGACTGCGTATAGCACATATCTTTCATAAAGACTTGTCTCCTGAATATGGGAAGATCCAGAAAAGCTAGTGCTTGCAGCACAACTGACAATCTAAAGGACACAGAGAAAACCAAAAGCTGAAGGGTGAAATCAATATGATTTGTGAATAAGATCGTTGTTCACCACCAGATGGCGCAACCTTGAATAAATCTGAGCTGAAGTAAAATTTTGGCTCTATTGAAGATTAATGGTGATGTGTCAGTTTTTTAAAGATTTCAAAGAATATAGATTCTGAATTTGAACTTCAGAGACACGGAGAGTCCACACCAACTTTTCCCCCCTGAAAGCAATTATTATCTTGATTACTGGGGGGGCGGGGGGGGGAGAGAAGGCTATTTAACAAAACCCAAATTTCTTCCGAAATGATGGAGGTACCTATTGGTGAAAATTTCACAGATACCTTTTAAAATAATTTTAAAAATAAAGCCATTATGCAGCCTCTCCTTTATGATAAGAGGGGTTACAAATACAAATATATTTTTATTCAGAGATAGGGAATGAAATCCTTTGTTAATTACTTGCCATGAGTACAGGGAAACTGATGAAATGGGGGGAGCGGAATGAGTCAGCCCATACTGTGAATGAGTCCACACATAAATTGATCAATATGACACTTTCCCAGCATGTAACAGAAGACATACATGAGTACTGAGAATCCCCACGCCCACATTTTCAGACAAATATAAGACTCAAGCCCAGAATTTGGCTGGCAACATTAAAGTCTTCGAATTCCAACATGACATGATACAAAAAAATAATAATAATAATCCCTTCTGTCCCCCGTTTCATACTCAAAGAAAACTCAGAGGTTTTTTTTTTTTTTGGCTTCTTCCAAAAGAATTTAATCCACCAGTCTGTGAACCTTGCATGAGCAATCTTCCCTGCTCCCCACCCCCAGGAATCCCTTCTGATCCTGGAAAAGCTGATTCCCAAGACTGTAAGACCCACATGAAGTAACAGTCACATGGGGTCAGTGGGCTGCAATGAGGAGGAGGAAGGGAGAGAAGCTGCTTTCAGAACAGCTCCACTGACAGAAGAGACTCCCTTTTCTCTCCTCACTGCAGTCCACCAATCCCACATGGCTATTACTCCATACAAGTCCTGCACCTCAGGAATCACCTTTCACAGGGTCAGAAGGAACCACTGGGAGAAGGGAAAGCAGGGAAGACCTGTGAACATCAACATCATCTACTGATGGGTCACCAAATCCAACCCAGCACCTCTAAGGACAGTGCAATGTAAAAGGCTGATCCCACCCTTGCCAAAGTTTTCTGTGTGTAACAGGCCTTGACAGAAGCCAGCCAAAGGTTATAGACCCCTGGTCTCTCTCACAAAATTCATTTACCTCTCACACATGACCAGTTACAGAGGCTGAGAATCTTAGTTGTGACTAAGGGCTGTACTAGACTCTACAGCAGTCACGGGTCCTATCTCTAAAGTGGCTTTAGAGACAAATTCAGCCATTTAAAAATGCTGTGAGGGCCCAAATCCTGACAGGTCTGCAGTGGGAAGAGGGGAGTCTTGTCTCCCACCCCCACACTTTTTCAAGTGCCAAAACACCCCTTGACACAGGTGTTCTGGCACTTGAAAAGGCACAGGAGGGGGCAAGATCCCCAATTCCTCTTGTGCTGAAGGCTCTTGTGGCATTTTTAAATGTCTGAATTGGTTTCTAAAATGGCATTGGAGGCAATGGGTAGGACCAGTGGCTACAGTAACATCTATTTTGGCCCTAAGTCCCAATGAAATCATTAGGTGGTCCATCCAATTAGCTCCAATGGGACTTAAACACAGCTATAACCAGACCCACATATTGGATGTTTCACTATTATTATCATTCAGCTCCTGGATATTGTTCCCCAGCCAGGAAAACTGTAACAATCTCCATTCACGTTCCAATGAAAGTTTAGCTGGATCAGAGTGAGGATTACTAGTGGGTAGGAATAAGCCCTTCCTAATGAAATAGGTGGGATATCAACAGAGCTATTTCAAGCCACAGAAATGGAGTCCATCAAAATCTTAATAATAATATATCAACCAACATGGAAAACAAAACAATGGCCCACAGACTGGAAATTCTCAATTTAAATTCCAATTTAAAAAGGAGATGTCAAAGACTGAAGCAACTGTCATTGTGTTAATTTCACATTCGAATAAAGTGATGCTCAAAAACTTATAACAAAGACTGTTACCATATATGGAATGAGAAATGCCAGATGTTCAAGCTGGATTCAGAAAAGGAAAAGAGAGCCAGTTTAGTGTAGTGGTTAAGAACGGCCAGTCTGGTGTAGTGGTTAAGAGCAAGGACTCTGACCTGGGAGAACTGGGTTTGATTCCCCACTCCTCCACATGCAGCTGTTGGTGTGACCTTGGGTCAATTACAAGTTATTTCAGGGCTGTTCTCTCACGAGCAGTTCTAGAAAGAGCTCTCTCAGCCCCACCTACTTCAAAGGGTGTCTGTTGTGGGGAGGGGAAGGGAAAGGAGATTGTAAGCCGCTCTGAGACTCCTTCACATAGTGAAGGGTGGGGTATAAATCCAATCTCTTCTTCTTCTCTCTTCACTAGAGATCATATTGCAAATGCACTTTGCTTATTGGAACACACAAGGCAATTTCAGGAGAAAATCTGCTTGTATTTCATAGATTACAGCAAAGCTTTTGACTGTATGGATCATGAAAAGCTATGGTTGGTTTTAAAAGAAATGGCTGTGCCACAACATCTGATTGTTTTGATGTACAACCTGTATTCTGGTCAAGAGGCTACTGGTAGGACAAAATATGGAGAAACAGAACAGTTTCTAATGGGCAAAGGTGTAAGACAAGGACGTATTTTATCTCCCTGTCTCCTTGATCTATATGCAGAACATATCATAAGGAAAGCTGGATTAGATTTAGATGCAGGAGGAGTGAAAACTGGTGGAAGGCACATTAACAATTTGAGATGTACAGATGACACCATATTACTGGCAGAAAATAGAGAAGACTTGAAATGACTACTGGTGAAGGTTAAAGCAGAAAGAGCTGAACATCAAGAAGACATAAGTAATGACTACTGGGGAATTACACAACTTTAAGACTGATGAAGAAACAGAAATTCTTAAAAGATTTTCTATTCCTTGGCTCCATCATCAACCAAAAAGGAGACTGCAATCAAGAAATCAGAAGGAGATTAAGACTGGGAAGGGCAGCCATGAAGGAGCTAGAAAAGATTCTTAAGTGTAAGGAGGTGTCGCTGGCGACCAAGATCAAGATAATCATACCATAGTATTCCCCATTACTATGTCTGGGTGTGAAAGCTGAACAATGAGAGCTGACAGAAAGGAAGTTGATTCATTTGAAATGTAGTGCTGGAGGAGAGTTTTACATTCAGTTGAAATGTAGTGCTGGAGGAGCCTGCCAAAAAGACACATAAGTGGGTTCTAGAGCAAATTAAGCCTGAATTCTCCCTAGAAGCGAAAATAACTAAACTGAGGGTATCATACTTCAGTCACCTTATGAGTAACTGGAAAAGACAATGCTAGGAAAAGAGGAAGACCCAACATGAGATGGATTGACTCAATAAAGGAAGCCACGG